GCAGGACTTGTGTGGCCTTGCTGTCTGGCCCCTGCCCAGCACTCGCTGGAGGCCACCGCCCCAGGAACCAGTGCTCGGATCTTCCTGCCCCGCTGTGCTGGCTACATTAGTGCGTTAACCTTCTCGGGCCAGAGGTCGGTGCTTTTGTTATTCCCATTTTGCAGATGCAGACTGAGGCTTCAGGAGGTGCAGCTGGCCGGTGGTGGAGCCAGGATTCTGGCCCAGGCCAAACTGCTGCAGAACTCGTGCTCTTGGCCCCCACACACTCTCACCCACGCAGCAAGAGAAGTCTGTTCTGCAGCTCACACCTGGCCTGTGCTGTGTATGTGGGTCTGCCCGAGGCTGGGGAGCCTGATGGTTGCAGCCCTGGTCTTGACAATCACCTGACTGAACAAACCTTAAGGCGGCCTCTGTGCCAGGGGTTGTGCCCCGTGTGGGGACCCCAAGATGAAGGAGCATCTCCTTCCTCCAGACATATATGAGATGCTTCCCTCCCCGGGTAACCCTGCAGGGAGCTCAGCTGAGCTGGAGGGAGAGAGCCTGACGGAGGAGCCGTGGGTAGAGCTGAGGACCCTGAGTCCAGGGGTGGAGGGGGTCAGGACCTGCGCGTCACCCTGCAGGCAGGAGTGTACCGGCACAGGACTCTGAGCAAGCAGGTGGCGTGATTAGCTGTGTGCGCTACAAAGTGACTTTGGCAGCCGTGAGGAAAAGGAAATCCAAAGGGGCAGAGACACACCAGATAGAAGCCTGAACTAGAAGCCTCAGGACTTGGACACTGGTTGGACAGGGTCTCCCTGGCTCTGGCCTTGTCCCATAGGGCCATGTGCCTGGTGAGGCCGCCCCACTCCCAACTGGGAATCACGCAGCACGAAGGCATGGAGGTCCCCTCCCCATCCATGCTGAGGCCACCGCAGAGAGTAGACCACACTCTACAAAGATATGAGGCCATTTCTAAATTAGAACAGGGGTGTCTTCTGTTTTTTTATTATGAAACATGACAAAAGGGGGATGGGAGACCACCCCTTGTCCCACCCCACACACAACGATCAGTCTCATGTTCCATTCTGTGAGAAAAAGTGTTGCTGAATCTGATTCTTCCTGTGGTTATGTATTTCTGGTTTGAGGTGGCCACCTGGGAACCCCAGGATACCCGTCCCTGCCCAGGTTCCCCTTCGTTCATGTCCTTCCACATCAACCCAAGACTGGTCCAAGAGGGTCTGTGGCAGCAGGGGATCAGGTTGCAAGGCCAGGGACTGTCTTTCCCCCTTGCGTTAACAGTGAAGCCCTTGAGAGGACCCCGGCACAGGGGGACAGGCTGCTCAGTCCCTCGGTAGGCAGAGCAGAACAGAGACCCTGGCCTGAGCAGCCACAGACAGTCCCTGGGTCCCTGGAAAGAAAAGGTAAGGCCCAGGTGGCTGCCCCAAACTGGAGGCTTTGGGGATCTGGACCAGCAGGAGGCCTCGCCCCCGCAGCTGGGACAGCTTGGGGTTTTTTTAACAGCTTTATTGAGGTATAATTTACATATCCTAAAATGTATTCACTTTAATTCAATGACTTTGAGTAAATTTATGGAGCTGGCAACCATCGCTACAATCCAGTTACAAAACATTTTTATCACCCTAAAAAAATCCCCTCGTGCCCCTTTGCAGTCAGTCCTGTCCCCACTCACAGCCCCGGACAACCTCTAATCTGCTGTCCGTCTGTGTGGATTTGCCTTGTGATGCTCATACGATCACCCAGCACGATGTTTTGGGGTTCTTTTCTTTGTTTTTGTTTTTTATTGAAATAGTGACTTTTATTTATTAATTTTTTAAAATTTATTTATTGAATCAAAATCGATTATCATATTTTGGGGGTTGAACATTGAGATATGTTGATCAAATCAATATTACTAGCATATATATTGTTACAAATCATAATTATTCCTTATGCCCCTTGTCCAATCTCTCCCCATCCCCCTCTAATAGTTCCCCCTCCCCCCTCTAATTACCCTAGATTTCTTCTCTCCTTCTGAAAGAATAATGGTCACTCTGTTGATTTGTTGCCTAGACGATCTGTCCAATGCTGAGAGGTGTGATCACGTCCCCCAATATTATCATAGAGCAGATGCTCCTTCTGTCACTCTGAAATGGGCTTTGTGTAGAGAGACATCCTCTATTCTTTATCTCTGCTGGTGACTCTCCTTGTGTCAATGCACTCCAGTGGCTGCTGGACCATCTGCGTGGTGGCTGTGGCATCTAGCCGCTTCCGCAGCAGCCATGGTTATTGTGGTGGCTGCGGTGGGCCACCCACGTGGAGGCAGCACGATGTTTGTGAAACTCGTCCGTGCTATCTCGTGTCAGCACTTCACTCCTTTTTATGGCTGAATAATATTCCAGTGTATACGATACCCCACATTTTATTTACTTATTCACCAGCTGACAGGCGTCTGGACTGTTCCCGAGCGTTGGCTTTTATGAACAGTGCTGCATGAACATTTGCTTGCAGGATTTTGCATGGACATCTGTTTTCACTCATTTCATAGGAGTAGAATTGACGGGTCGTGAGAAAAAAAAAAATGTTTAACTTTTTAAGAAACTGCCAGCCTGTGCTGTTTTCCATTCCCACCAGCAGCGCACAAGGGTCCGTTTTCTCCACATCCTCGCCAGTTGCTTGTCATCGTCTGTGTTGTTGGTTACGGTCCTCGAGGATGCGAAGTGGCATCTCATCGTGGTTTGATTTGCATTTCTCTAGTGACTAATGTTGCATGTCTTCTTGTGTCTTACTGGACACTTGTAGTCTATATAGTTGCATTGGAGAAGTGTCAGTTCAAATCTTTGGCCCACTTTTTAAACAGAGTTGTTTGTCTTTTTGAGTTGTAAGAATTCTTTACACATTCTGGATACAAGGCCCTTATCAGACCTGTGCTGCACAGAGATTTCTCCCCGTCTGAGACTTGTCTGTCCTTTTCCTTAAGCATGTGTCTTTTGAAGGTAGACGTTTTTAATTTACATGAAGTTCAGATGATCACTTTTTCTTTTTTGGATCCTGCTCTTGGTGACCTATGTAAGAAATCCTTGCCTATCCCAAGGTCACAAAGATTTTCTGTTTTCTTCTAGAAAGTGTTACAGTCTTAGCTCTTCCATTTAGGTTCTATGATCCATTTTTAGTTCATTTCTGTACATGATGTGAAGTAAGGACCCAACCTTATCCTTACGTCTCATCCCCACTTGTTGAAGACTGTCCCTTTCCCTCACTGAATTTGACTTTCTCAAAAATCAGTTGACCATAAATGTAAAGGTTTGTTTCTGAACTCTCAATTTTGTTCCATCGATCTGCCCTTTGGAATCGGGAAGATAAGTTTTCCAACTTTGTTCTTTTTCAAATGTGTTTTCTGCTACTCTGGGTCATCTGCATTTCCATATAAATTTTGGGATCAGCTTATTTTTTTCTAAAAAAAAAAAAAAAGAGAGAAAAGGAGAAAGCTGGGATTTTGATGGGGATTGTGTTGAATCTGTAGATCAATCTGGAAAGAACTGTCATATTCACAATATTGATGCTTCCGACCCATGACCATGGAATGTCTCTCCTTTTGTTTTTAATTTTCATGTCACATAGTACATTTATTTTTCTTTTAAATTTCTCTCAGCAAGGTTTTGTCATTTTCAGCATAGATGTCTTACATTTCTTTTGTTATTTATTTCTAAGTATTTTATTATTTTGATGTTATCGTGAATAGAATTTTCTTAATTCATTTTTAGGCCGTTTGTTGCTGGCACGTAGACATACACTCGACTTTTGCATTTCGATCTTGCATCTGTGACCTTGTAGCACAGTCTTGTTGTAAGTTAGGAGTCCCTGCAGTGCTGCCTGAGGGAACCACGGGCTAGACAAGAGGTGGAGTGACATACCTACCTTCCACCTGCTGCAGGAGCCCTCCCTTCAGCTCCCTCTGCCTCAGCACGTCCAAAATATAGGCCCCTTCACTCAAGGGTGGTGCATAACTCTTGACAGCTCCAGTAGAAAGTTGTTCCTTAGCCCGGCTGAAGTCCACATCCTGGTATGCTCTGCCTGCTGCTCCGGGGCTGGGTAGACAGCCCTGCTCTCCCTTCCTCCAGAGAAGACGCCTTCACCTGTCCCCTTCAGTGAGGCCCCAGAACCGGGGGCCAGGCAACCCTCCCTGGCCTTTGACCTGGGCACCATATTCCCACTGCAACCCAGCCCAGCCCTCACATCACACCTTAGCCCACTAATATGTTTTTAGGTCAAAGTAGAGGGGTGAGAGCTGTAAGGGATTTTTAAGTGATGTGGATCTACCCCTCCCTCTGGGATTCTGGACAGGCTCCCTCTGTGGCAGAGGAGTGGGGATAAATGGCTCGTGCTCTGGGCTTTGGGCCTCTCTGAGTTCAGTGCCGCGGTCAGTGCACAGCCTCATTCTGGGGACCCTTCTGGCACAATCCTCAGAGATAAGACAGTCTCCACTGGTGGTGGGCAGGTGATTTGGGGAAATACATGGGAGGAAATTGTCTTTGAAAGTATCTTCCAATTTCTCCGATTATGACAAAGAGAAAGTCTCTGTTCATGTTGATATGTCTTTAATATGTGCTTTAACCCTCAGTAACCCCCCATTTTTAAATAAAGAACAGGTCTTGGGGAAATAGCGTGATTTAATAACACTTTGTTTTTCCTTGTTTATTACTTATGCCAAGTGATACTGGCTTTCCACTTATAGTAGTATTATAAAGCTTTCTTTCAGAATAAAGTAAAAAGTTTTGAGTTGATGAGGAAAAACAGTGACTGAGTAGAGGTGGTCCACAGCTACAGCCAGGGTGGAGGTGTCTGGGGGCACCTGCATGGGGTTCACTGGATGGTCCGCGGGTGGCAGGCCCACGGCAGAGGTGGGGCTTTCCGTCTGCCACGAACTTGCCCGTGATCCCAGCAAGCTGTCTCCCACTCCAGATGCTCCAGCTGTGCTGGGCTGTGCCTGAGGGCCACTAACCTGCACTCCTGTCCTCCTGTAGGTGTGGCGGGCTGGGACTGGTGCTGGCCAGCGCGGGCTTCGGCATGCTCACGGCGCCCATCATCGAGCTGCATAACCAGAAAGGCTACTTCCTGCACCACATCATCTTCGCCTGCTGCACGCTCATCTGCATCATCTGCATCCTGCTGCTGCCCGAGAGCAGAGACCAGAGCCTGCCCGAGAGCATCTCCAGCGGGGAGCACTACACGCGGCAGCCACTGCTGCCGCACAAGAAGGGCGAGCAGCCGCTCCTGCTCACCAACGCTGAGCTCAAGGACTACTCGGGCCTCCACGACACGGCCACCATGGGCGACGGGCTGCCCGAGGGCGCCACAGCCAACGGCATGAAGTCCATGTAGCTGGCCACGCCACTGCTCCTGTGGGGGCCCCAGAGACCCAAGGGCTTGGGGGGAGTCTGGGCACAGGTTTACAGACAGGGACCGAGCACGGCCGGGTGCAGAAAAACCCAGCTCTGCTGCCGAGGCCACCCAAGCGTGAGACTTCCAACTGGTGTGGGGAAATCTGTCTTTCCAAACGTCCAAGGAGCACGTGTTTAAGGAAACAAACTCTTTGGAAATAATCCTTCAAAGACTTTCTTTTCTGCCATGAAATGTTTGTATTTATTTTGGTCATTTCTACCAGAAGCACTTTATTCTCTGTCCTCTCACTGGTCACGAGATGCAGCCACCTCCTCCAGGAGCAAAACATGGCCACTCTGAGGAAGACGTCATCGGTGACCGATACGGTGGCCAGCCTCCTCCCTGGAGGTCAGACGCTGCCCCTCGCCCACCACCCAAGGAGCCAGATGTCACCTCAGCCAGCCCAGAGCCCAGCCTGGAGGGAGCCCGCCTGTGTGCAGAGGTGTGGCCCTCTCGTAGAGCATTCCCAGGACTGCATTTTAGACAGCGTGAAATGTAAATGAATTAGGTTTTTGCTAGAGTCTGTATATGGTTTTCTAAAGCTTCCTTCTTTCTGTTTGTAAGGTGAGAGCTTCCGTTCCACGCGCTGGGGGAAGGGCCGCTCACAGGGACAGTTAAAACCAGCCTAGTCTTTCCCTCGGGGTCATCCTTTTGTACTTGATGCTGGAAGCTCTCTGGGGAAAAGCTTAAACCTTTCACTGGAAATCTGAAATGATCAGCGGTGGTATCAGCACCATTTTCTGACACCAGGTTTGCTTATTTATGTGCACATCTAGCAAATGTGTTGAGGTCTGAGACGTGTTAATTTTTATTAATACTCCTTCCCAGATTCAGCTCCAGCAGAAAAGTTCCCTCTTTCACATTCAGCTTTTTTGCTGGCACTACTTGAAAACATGGCTACTTCCTGAGCTAAAAACAATAGGAAAATAACTGAAAAAAATGACTAAGGCACCCACATCTCAAGCACACACCAGGGGATCACCAGCTTGGATGGCTGTCGCTCATGACATCACGCCAGGCACCGCAGCACCTGCAGGAGACGGACCCCTCCCGCCTTGGTCTGTGTCCTGTCTTGTCCCTCGCTCAGCAGAGGCAGGGCTTAGGGCAGCAGCAAAGCATCCTCACTGGTGAGTCACATGACCTCCAGCCTCTTGGAAGCAGCAAGACAAAGCAAGAGAAAGCAATAACTCCCCACGGCCCACTGCAGCCCTGCCCACCTCAGGGGTGTGTACTGTACTCATCACCGCACCCCAGACAGTGAAGGGCCACTAAGAAACAAGGCTCCTGAGCACAGGCAGTCGCCAGCTTTTCTGGACAGCCTGGCTTCTCACTAGAATCATTCACTTCAGCCCTTTGCAGAGCACATCTTTGCTGCTAGCTGTGTTCATCCAGGCAGATCGTGGTCTCAGGCCTGCATGAGGCAATTCAGTGACTTCCAGCAGATGGCTGCTAGAATTCAAAGGGCCAGAGAAGGCGCTTCCTTCCCCCCTCTCAGATCTCACCCCTGGTTGGCTGCTCACTGTCTCCCCCTCTGTACAAACACCAGTTGGAGCCCACTGGCTTGATAAAGATGTCGTGAGGGGTGAACAGCCTCGTGACCACGTGTTGGCAGTGCCTGAACCACGCCATCTCATCAGCTGACCCCCCACCTGGGGCTCCAGGGCCTCATCTGAGGCCTGATGGCGGCGGAAAGGGAGGCTGACTGGCCAGTCTCTCCTTGCTCCACCTGCTCCACGTCCAGCTCGGCCTCCCCTTCCCTGGTCTGTCTTCAAGTCTCTTTTGTTCCATGTTTCAATGTAGCCCACATTCACCTTTTCAAAGGCCTTTCTTTAGATCTGTACAGCCTTCGCGTGCCAAACTTGTGAAATACCTTTTACCTTTTTAGAGGACTTGCTACAAAGTCTCCTGGCAGAAGCCCCCATTAAGTACAGATAGGACATGTCCAGGGCCTGGCCAGTAGGCAGTTGGGGAAGGTGGGAAGGAGCCAGCGAGGCCCTGGGCCTGTACCTGGATAGGTTTGCACCCATCACCCTCAGCACAAGAACACTTCGTAGTCCAGTGACTGTACTGTTGTGGAGTGGCAGAGATGATGACAGCCTCACACTGGTCATGTAGACCTTTTTTAATACATATGTTGAAGGGGAAGAGTGCTGCCAGAAATCTCTAGGAAGGTGGTGTCAAGGTACAGCACTTACAAACTTCTGTTCCAAGGTCTCTTAAATGGTAACAATAAAAACACTCATCCATCAAAGACCGTGCTCATCACTTCAGCAGTCAGGACTAACCCATCGATGACTAGAGACAGCTAGCTTAGAGGCCTAGGCTCTTGGAACCAAAGTCTAGCGGACAGGAACAAGCACTTGCCGACTGTGGGCAGGTGACATCTCTCGGCTGGCAAGGAGGTCCCACAGCTCCCCTCTGGCAGCCCCAGGAGGATGAGCACCTGTTCTGTCGCTGCTTCAGCTTAGGGGTAAGTGAAGCTCTTGAGGAATACCTTCATAAAACGTAGCCAGAGCAGAACAGCTCACGTGTGGGCAGAGCCCTGTGCAGTCTGGCAGCACATGACAAGGGCAGCAGGGTGCCCAGGCCTGACAGGCATCCAGCCTGGCCGGTCTCACAGGGTTGCTGTGGCTGCCCGCCCCGGCGCCATTCTGCTGTGCATGAGCTCGTCCTGCCCCCTCCGTGGTCAGCAGGGAGACGCTTCTCAGGCACCTGCCTTTTCAGTGCAGCCCTCCCACCTCCTGGGGAATCATCGGAAGGTACGTGTTCCTTGCCCTCTCCTCCACCCACCCCTGCGTCCTGCTAGCCCAACCCATCAGGAGCTGTGATCCCCTTTCAATAAAAGTTATGCACAAATGTGAACACTGGAGACAGGGCTGGATATTTCTTTTGTTCTTTTCAGAAGTCAATATTATCAAATACTCCAATTATCAGAACCCAAGATAAATTAACATTTTAAATGTTTTTCTTTTCTGAGAGTATAATCACCTGCAATTGGAGGACAGGGGCTGGTAAGCTGGTTTGGCCACAGGACAGAAAGCAAAACAAACCTCACAAAGGAGGTACTGCACGCAGAGATCACCACTTCCTACAGCCAAGCGGGAAATCCCTGAATTGGAAGTGCCAGTAAATGACGCTTGTGACCACATCACCCAGCCCCAAAGTGTCCCATGTGTTGGGGGAGGCCCACACTTCAACTCCATCTTTTTGTTTTAAAGGACACCACCTCACTTTCATGTACTGTGCGTGTTTTGTAAAAAGCAGTATGGTGTGTCATGTCTAGTGGGGATGCTTCCCTCCCTGTGCTTTCTGCAGCCCAAACGTTGGAGGTTTTGCTAGGAGAACCGTGTTCCTGTGCGTGTCAGTGGGGACGCCTGTGGCGGTGCTCGTTCACAGCACAAGCTTATGTTGACGTCTGCACTGTCCTTCACAGCTACCTGTCTGCATGGTGTCGCATCTGTTGTACCTTTGGGAAATTTCTATGTAAATGTACAGAATAAAAATGTTGCCCCATTAACAGATTTCCTCTGGAATGTCTTCCCTACCTCACTGATGGTATCTGACGAAGGGCATTTCACTACCATTGACAATGAGTAATAAAAATCCTCCCTGTTCATTCAGACCTCGCTGCGTCACTGCTTTCAGCGCCTGTGTAAGCCATGTCTTCGCTGGCCCTGGGGGGTAGGGGACAGCCTCTCTGCTTTGGGAGTTGTCTCAAAAGGTAGTCGGAGGCACATCAGACTCAACATCGACTGCTCATCTAGAGCCATTCTCAGACCACCTGAGAAATGGGGGCCAGGAGTAAGCGGGAGACAAATTTTTTTCTCTTGTTTATGTTCTGCTAACCCATGGCCTGAAAGTTCCTAGAGAGGTCAAGAAATGAATATCTTACACTGTGATTCTGTGAGGAAAGACTGATAACCCAAAACTCTCTTCTCTAATGTAGTATTTTTTAACAAGAAAACAATATTTCTTTAATAAAGTATTTATACCAAACTCTTCTCTTCATAGCCCTGATTTTGTGTCACTTACTCTTCTAATCCTAGGTAGGTGCCCACTGCTTTCCCACCAGTGGTGCTGGCCGAGGCCTCAGAGGTTAGCGTGGGTAGTCTGCAGAGGAGGGAAGCACTGGAACACGACTTACGCCCCTGAAGTGTCTGTGTCCTGGCCAGTGTCACCACCTTCAGTTGCCTACCCCTGGCTCAATGCAATACTTTGAGCCACAACGTGAGACGTGTTAAAGGGCCCTAAACTAGGCGCCTCTAGTAGTAAAAGGGTCCAGATGGACCCCAAAGACAAGAACGCTCTTTGCCAGTGGTCTTCAGCTTTGCCTGCGCAGAAGAGCACCTGGGAGCTTTTCAACCCTGCCAAAGCCTGGGCTCCAGACCATCTGCATCTCTGGGGAAGGGCCAGATTAGAACCCACTTCAAGTGGTAGACAGAAAAAGTCTAAGGATTAAAAATGACCGAAGCATGTACTTGGGACTTGGGAGAAGTAAGAAGGGAAGATGATGAAATGATGGGACAAGCAAGAAGGACCTGAAGCGTGTGAATCCACAGCGATGAAGGAGTTAAAACCACAATTGAAATCTAATTGTCCCAGCACTTAACAGTTTGCAAAGCATTTCTACACACTTAATTCCAACAACCCAGCAAGATGAGGATTGTTCCCATTTTATATGAGGGTAATTCAAAAAGTTCATGGAAAGATCTGTACTATTTCTCCACAATCCTTTTGAAGTACACCTGCAGATGAGGAAACAAAACCCAGAGAAGTTAGACACTTCACCAAAACCACAAACCTAGCAAGACTTGTGGAGTGGAGCTCAAACGAAGGCCCAAGGAAGAGCACAGGAAGAGGAGAGGTGCCAGAGGAAGGGTTTGGGGAGAGCACAGCAAGAGGAGAGGTGCCAGGGGAAGGGTTTGGGGAGAGCACAGGAAGAGGAGAGGTGCCAGGGGAAGGGTTTGGAGAGAGCACAGGAAGAAGTACCAGGGGAAGGGTTTGGCTAAAAAGGGAAGGAGATAAAAATGCATCAACTCACAAGGCAGACAGAAGCCTCAGGAACACACACAAACCTAAAGCATATTTAAGAAGATGTTACTTTAATTGGGAATGTACATCACAGATGCTGGCTGACTTAAACTCTTAGATTATACTGCACCCTTCAATCCCAACAAAATCCCATTCTCACCCCTGTCTGTCACTGCGCAGTCAAGTGAGGATGTGTGTACAGCCCGCTCTGAGCTTCTCCTTCCCCAGGTCGGTCAATATCCGCTTTCTGGCCCAAACCCTGCTAAGAAGGAAAGCTCGTAAAATTAACCCTTTAAAAACAAAATGTGAACACAACCTGAGGACAAAATGAAACTCGATCCATTTATTTAAGTGCACATTGTACTTAAGTTGCAAATTCTCATTTCTGCCACTCAGCTAGAACTTGTCTGGAAAAGCCTCCATTTCTTCCTTGATTCTGTTTTCTACAAGCAATGCGAAGTTACTGTCTGTGTTTTGAAGGTTATAGCTGACAAACACCTGTTTGTTGGTCTTCCTGGCTAAAAAGAGAAAACACATTGACAGAGCCATGGCGGAAACACTGCAGGTTCTCTGTTGCTCACACCTACCCACGGCTGGAGAGCACCCGGAAAAAGAGGACAGGGCTTTAGGGAGAGAAGAAAGCTCTCATCTTTATGACTCTCTTCAGACACATGCTGCAAATGCAGACTAAAGTAATTTAGACCCTCGCCTGGTCTGTAGAACGGCAGTGCTTAAGTGTGGTCCCCACAGCAGCGGCGCCCCCTGGAGCTTGGTAGAGATGCAGATTCTCAGGCCCCACTCCAGACCTCAATCTGAAAATTGCGGGTTTGGGCCAGCAAACTGTGTCAACAAGCCCTCAGATGACCCATACACGAATGTTTGAGAACCTCTGCTCTACACAGAGGGGTTTTTGGTATTTTTTTTAACTTTCAAAACACAATATTAAAGTGTTTAAAATAAAATATTAAAGTTCTCCTTCTGTACCACCCTCTCTACCAATTCCACTCCCCTCCCAGAGGTAATCCTCCATTTCTATACAATTACGCACATATGTACACACATGTACAAGGATACTTCAAAAAGCTCATGGTAAGATTTGTATTATCTTTTAATTCTATTTTTCCATGAACTTTTTTTTTTTAGAAGATGACTGGTAAAGGGATCTTAGCCCTTGACTTGGTGTTGTCAGCACCATGCTCTCCCAAGTGAGCAACCGGCCATCCCTATATGGGATCCGAACCTGTGGCCTTGGTGTTATCAGCACCGGACTCTCCCAAGTGAGCCACGGGCCAGCCCTTCCACAAACTTTTTGAAGTACCTTCTTATATATGTGTGTGTGCCTATATACACAGATGTATGATTTTCTGATATTGAAAGCAGATTTTAGCTCCTTTATAGAGAACCAATAGTCAATAGCTGAACTGCATTGGTACAACTGCAAAAAATCAAGCAGAGTCACATACCCAGATTCTGAAAGACAAGACAATATCCTGAGAACAGGTGGGCAGTGAGCCTAACCAGCTTCACACTGACCGCACAGTGCTGGGGCCTCCTCCTGCAGCCTCACCCAGGCCAAGGGCAGGTGCAGACACTCCTGCTCACCCAAGGAGAGGCACTGACCCCACCCCAAGTCCCATCAGCCTCATCAAAAGGCAGAGGAGCAGTGAGGTAAGGCTGGGGCCCACCAGGCCACCTGCACCATAACTGCATCCAGGTGGCAATTCTGTCCTGTCAGTTGCTGCTGTCTTACCTGTAGTCTGACTTACCCCTGGGTCACCAGGGGCTGAGCTGGCCACCTGCACCATAACTGCATCCAGGTGGCAATTCTGTCCTGTCAGTTGCTGCTGTCTTAACTGTAGTCTGACTTACCCCTGGGTCACCAGGGGCTGAGCTGGCTTCAAGAGGCCTGGGTCCTTTCTGGCCCCACCAAGGCCTGGAAACCTCTTTGGGCTCCAGGTCCTCATTTGTAAAACAAGGAAAGAAAGACCTTGGGATCTCAAAGGACTTTTTTCAACTGTATGACGCAATGTGTGTAATTTTTAGGGTTAGGAGTGACCTTGGGTATTGTTTATGCATCTATGGAGAAGGTGAGAGGACAAGCCCAACCTCTGCCTTGAGGATGGCTGGGTAAACTATATGGCATGTCAATTATCTCTTAATAAAGACGTTTGTTTTAACAAAGAAACGTGCCTTGACAGAAGCAGCTATTAAGTTATCCTGAGAGCCCGTGTTTAAAGAACACCTCACAGTACTTAATGCAGAGCCTCCCACCAGTTTGCTGGGTGCCACTGTGATTCCAATCGCTATAACTGCTAAGACAGGTCTTCCAGAGAGCCAAGCTGCATCTGCCACTTCATCCATCCACAGACCCAGCTATACCCTCCAGAGCCACACAAGGACAGAGTCCTCTCGCCCACACTGAAGCCATTGCTTCCAGGGCTACTCAAGCCCTGAGGCCATCTCTTCTCCTACTTGCTTTCTTCTTCCATACAAGACCCTGTTGCAGGACACCTCTTCTGTTTGTTATAACACATTAAAAATGCATTTTCAACTGCAGGACCCCGATCCGGGTTCAAGATGCTGGCACAGCCCAAGGCTCTGCTGGACAACCAACCCCTTCTTGATCTGAGCACTGTGCCTACCAGCCCCTCGGAGGTGCCAGCAGCCACCTCACGCCACCGACCTTTTGAACTACTGAGAGCCCTCGTTTTCTCGCACACAAACTGATATTAGGCCTCCATCTCACAGGTATTCTCAAGCCTTTTTAAATTTCTGGTGTAAAGCTTCTTATTCCTGGCACGGCAGACGAGCTCTGCCAACCTTCACCAGCGGAGTCTGCTGCGACAATCCCACAGCGTTGTCTCTCTAAATATGAACGCTTTCCCAAATTCACCGGAGCGGGCACAGGCCCACAGGACTCTGATGTAAGTGCATTACCCCTTAAACATCAACGAATACATGGGGGAGCACTTAGAAGCAAAGGGGTACTGTGCCTCCAACTGCCTTTCACGTGTTTCAGGAAGAAATAATGACGCAAACACAGAGAAGGGAGGGAAACAACTAGGAGGTCTGGGTGAAGGCAAGGCAGGAATTCTCTGTATCTTCTTTGCAACTTTTCTCTAAATTAAAAATCATCTCCTAATAAAAAGTAACCAGAATAACTCACTAGTCAGGTGTCTAACTCCAGGCTACAGAAAAACTACCCTGCAAGTTCACAAGATGCTGACCTCTGCCCTCCCTGACCTCCACCCATCCAAGCACAGAAGAGGGTGTGGGGAATCCAGGACGCCTGCCGGTGACATTCTGCCCTGCCCTCATGTGCCATCAGTGTCCCTCCTTGGCTGTGTGTGGTGCTGTTCAAGTGTGTGCGCCTCAGTGTGACTGAGTCTACAGAATTCTCTTTATACAGCACCCAACACAAGTTAAGTCTGAGCTCCTCAAAACAGGCTGGCCTCCTTCCCTGTACACCCCCACCCAGCACACAGAGGGGCTCCATAACTGACGAGAAGAGAAGTCACCTGGAACACTGAAGAACTAAGCAGGGGACAGGGGCTAAGACCGGAGAACTAAGCAGAGGATGAAGACTAAGCAGGGGACGGGCTGGCTTCCTGCTCACAGTCTCCGGTGTCCTCGCACACTGGCCACAGGCACGCAGGGCTGGGCTGGCAGGACGCACGCCATCCCTCCCTGTGGGAAGTGTGAGGTGGCGGCGGGGAGGATGAGCCTTCAACTTCATGTTCTCTGCTTAACATCTGCTCTGCGCTGCACTCACAGGCCAGGCCACAGGCTCCCCTCTGAGCTCTGAATGACATCACACTAAGAGTGAAGGACTGTCCTTCCTGCACAATGGTGACACCTGCTCCACAGGCTCCACCAAATCCCCGTGAGGACCCAGGAGGCTTCCTTGAGCCGCTGCCCATAGGGTGCTGTGGGCATCGTTCACTCTCCTCAGCAGTGAGGAGGTGATGCGCAGGTGACGTGCTCAGGGAAAGGAGCTACATCAGCTCATCCCCTCAAAGAAGCAGCCAAGGACAATGTGGGAGTCCCTTAGGAACGTGCTGGCCCGGAGACAGTGGTGGTAATGGGTGAGCACAGGTGTGCTCTGCACAGAAGACCTGATGGACAAGGTCTGTGCGTGCAGCAGTAATGAGGACTCTTTCTTCTGAAGTGACTTGCCTCATGGTCCCACTGAACAGTGGGGCTCCCCCCAGGCTGGTCTTGCAGCCCCAGCGTGGCTACATACCTAGGCGCTGGGCGAGGCCAGTGGAGGTCGTGTCGGCAGTGTCTCCGAGGAGGGAGGTGGACACAGGGATGGAGTCCTAAAAGGAAGACAAAGAGCACATGCAGCGCCTCCACCCCGGAGTGGGCCAGCCACACGTCCACAGCATCTGATTCTTCACGAGGGTGGCAATGGCGGGTTTTGAGGACAGACACAGGTACTGAGGGAAGAGAGGGCTGGCATCCGTCAACAGCCAAGCAGGTTGACTCCCAATGCCTATGAGGTCAGTTCAGCTGGCACAAACAAAGAAAAGTCACTTGAAGCTGGAACCACAGTGCTGTTAATAAGTTCTTATTTCACATAATAAGGACTTATTTCACATAAAGGGCTTGTTTTAGCAACAGAAACTCCAATGCATGCTGAAGGGCAACACTCCAACCAAGAGAGAAGTAAACAAGGTCATTAAGGCCACAGCAAGAAGGAAGTGAATCACAGTCTGGGTCCCCATGTCCCCATTCCCTCTGCCCATGGCAGCCATCAGCCAAAAGGCAGGATGCCCAATCTCCTCATCTTGGCCTGTGAGAGAACACTGCTCCAGTGCCCTGAAGGCTCACCTGGGCTCTTTAAGGTCAATAAATTCCCTGTGACTTTGAAAAAGGGCACCAAACACCAGTATCCAAATAGCAAAAATACAACCTTCTGAATATGCCTGGCCAATCTCATTTAAGATAAGAAGCCATAAAACAAAAGCAGCAGTATAAATGAGGTTACGATAAAAATGCGGCCCTTCTGAAATGTGGAAGTAATCTTATTACCAATTACTTTGGAAGTAATCTCCCTCGCCATCAAAATTCTCACTTAAAAGAAAAAGCCTACTGCCATGAGCCATCCTGCTATAGGGAACGGCCTGGAGGCTGAGTGATACCCCTTGTTCTGCAGGCTACAAGGGGGTCCCATGTGTGTGGCACGTTCTTGTGAGTACTCCATGCAAGTTCTTGTTTGTTCACCTTTGGTTGCTTGAAAAGGTTTCCCAGAATTAAGCAGCCTAACCTTTTGGCTTAGTATGGCTTTGGGAAATTCCCTGGAGTTTCTCAAATGACATGTGAATAATACATCAAAATTAATTGGTTTATTTAAAAAGGTATTGTCAGTACTAAAAGCGTTTTTGATGCATGTTCCCAGTATGGGTTGGCTCCATTTAGTTTTGTTATTAATCTTCCTTGTTAGTGTTATGTGCATTAACCCATTGTGGCTGTGGTCATGCTTTCGTACGTGTGGAATTAAGTTATTATGTTAGATTTCTATCCACATTCCCCCAGGGAGTCGGTACGTCTGGGTGCAGTAATGTTTATAAGTAATTGACCATCAACCAGTTACAGATTTCTTTGTTTCTCTCCACTCCCACAGTTTCACTTGATTTATCAAGAACATGTTCTTTCCTTAGTAATAGTAAGAATAATATAGTGTGTTTTCGTTAGTTTGAGTAGGATCATTTAACTTTTCACTTTGTCCCCTGTGCTGTTCCCAGAGTCTATTGGCAGGGAAATAAAAGGTATGAACATTGTGATTTTGATAAATTGAAATGATCAATACAGGGTATAAGCAATATTAAATTGTTAACCTTAACTAATCAATGTTATTAAAATTAAGAGTAGTAAGGATAAGTAAGATTTAAAAAGGGTTAAATTGTAAGCTAAGAAGGTTAAGAATTATAGTTTAAACTAAAGTCTGACGCTCTCTAATGCCAAGCCTGCTGCTATTGTATGGTTTCCTGGCCACAAGCCACAGGCTTTGGGGTGAACTATTGATGCATGAGTGGGTGCTTTTATCACAGCATGAATGCTTTGGAACATTCTGTTTTTTCTTTAGTAAGATTTAAAAAGGGTTAAATTGTAAGCTAAGAAGGTTAAGAATTATAGTTTAAACTAAAAGTCTGACGCTCTCTAATGCCAAGCCTGCTGCTATTTTATGGTTTCCTGGCCACAAGCCACAGGCTTTGGGGGGAACTATTGATGCATGAGTGGGTGCTTTTATCACAGCATGAATGCTTTGGAACATTCTGTTTTTTCTTTTTCTATAGAGATAAAATAATAAATGTTTTGATTAAAAGATAAATCATCATGTAAAAG